ATCGCGGCAGAGTGCTTCCCAGCCATCAGATCACAAATGATCTGATGGTGGTGGTTGCAAAAACAGTGAACAAAGTAACCGCCACATTTTTTTGGAATAAAMTCKACTTCTGTCAGCAGTGATCCTGACACCCTCCATATACTCCGTGATTGAAGGAGGGCTCCACCCAATGAGATAATTGCACAACAGCAAGTAAAATGCTGAAAATCTTCTATCCAGTGGGCTAAGGCTGACCCCAACCCCGTTTGGGGTTGGCCACACCCCCAACCGATTGAGAAGATTCTGGCGGGAAGCTGTCTTTGCACGGGCATGCCCAGTGTTAAGGAGAGGGGGAGGGGAACGTAGATCTCCTTACTTTTTCGGGTAATACTTGTAAATCACTGACCGTCGGATCACCAGTACTGCACGGCAGGATTTGGGTCACTCAACTGCCCCACAAACTCGTTTCTATCCTATCCCGTTGCTAGTGGGACCTCGCCCCTGGCTTTTGATAAATAAACATTCCTTTTCCCAAAAAAAAAAAAAAAAAAAAAAAAAAAAAAAAAAAAAAAAGTCAGACCTTCCGACTATATAAAGAGGGACCAAACAGAAGGGTCTACAGCGACCCTACGAACCAAAGCGGCTCGATAGACCCAACAAGACCAAGAGTCTACAACGACCCTGCCAATGCCGCAACAGGAACCTAACCACGACGACTGGGCCTTCAAAGCGGCCCTGACCAGGCGGGGAAGATCACGAGGCTCCGACAAAGAGAAACAAAACGTGGCTCCGACAACAAAAAAAAAAAAAAAAAAAAAAGATCACGTGCTGTTTTTTTCCTTTTTTTGGGTATGGATTTCCATTACAACAAAAACGGTCAAATCAACGTGGCTCCGACCAGTGGACGGGGAAGAAGATCACGTGGTATAACTGTTCTATTTTTTGGTATGTCCTTCGATGAGTCGAAACAAGTGGAGTTTTTGGGAAAAAGAAAAAAAGAAAAAAGGAAACGAGTGGAGTGGCTGGGTAAGATCAGGCGTCGACACGTTGGGTACTTCTGTACGTCGGCAGGACACGCCTACTTGATTCCACGTCATATTTTCACCAAAATCAAATTTATTTGCTCCTCAAATTTACACGAAGACTGCTGGGGCGTGGTCCCACTGGCAAAGAGGATCAGATCCAATGCCTGCATCTGGACGTGTTTGTTGAGAGGTGCAGGGTATCGAGATTGAACTGCTTTTCTACATCTCTGCATAAAAGACACCAGACTCCGGCATTCCATCCGATCCTCTTTGCTAGTGGGACCTCGGCCCTGATGAATCCAGCAGCCCATTTGGTTAGGCACGCAAGTGGCATTCAGGAGGTTGTGGGTTCCAGCCCCACAAACCCCTGCGGCGCCCGCTTAGTGCCAACCAGCCGTGATAGTCCCCTTGATACCTCTGGACGGTGATAGCAGGGTCCTTGGCCAACACGGGTGTGAGTATGAGTGTGAGTATGAGTGTGAGTGTGAGTGGGTTGTGTGTGGTGTGTGGTGTGGTGTGTGGGAGAGTGTTGGCCTTAGACACTGCTGTTATTAGGCTGGGGGTGGGGGATGATGAAAAGGGAGGGGTGGCTACTGGTAAAATGCTCGGTCTTTGCGTTAGACGGACCCCCACTGGCGGCCCCACCTCATCCTGGACCACCATGGTTGTTGGAGTGGGGGTCAACATGCATCCCCTCTGATGGGGGGCTGGAGGGAGACAACAAAGCTATGTTTGCAGGGGTCCCCTGTCTAAGCCTTAGGAGTAGTGGTAGGTAGGTAGTGAAGGTGAATTGAAAGAATTTGAAAGATGATGATTTATTTGAGAGAAGAATATATTCAATATAGCATAGTTGAAAGAAAAAAAAAAAAACAAAAAAAAACACTGCTGATGTTCATCATAGGGGGAGGGGACCTGAGGGAAGGCACAGTGACTGGCCCCTGTCCGGTATCGCCCACCTGCTGGCGGGTGCAGCTCCCTCATGTTCCCTCGTTGGAGGCTTGAGCACAGTATGTGGCTGCTACGGAGTACCCCATAATTCTATAATGCTTCTCAGGGGTTTTCTTGTAATATAC